ATATAATTCCTTCAGACATTCAAACCCCACAACTTCTTGAGTCAGCGTGACTAATAATGAAGCTCTCCTACTCAGCGCATCTGCCACACGATTGGTCTTGCCGGAAGTATGCTTGATAACGAACGAAAATTTCTGCAAAAAAGTCATCCATCTAGCATGCATTTTATCAATATTTTTCTGGCTGTTAATATACTTCAACGCTTGATGATCTGTAAACAAAACAAATTCCTTCTGGATAAGATAGTGCTCCCATTGCTTCAAAGCTCGAACAACCGCATAGAACTCTTGGTCATAAGTACTCCACTTTTGACGTGCATCGCTCAACTTTTCAGAAAAGAACGCAATTGGCTGCTTGTCTTGTGAGAGCACAGCTCCGACTCCCACACCGCTGGCATCACATTCAACTTCGAAAACTTTCTCAAAGTTTGGAAGAGCTAGAACCGGTGCGGTGCAAAGCTTTTCTTTTATTTCTGCAAAGCTTCTTTCTTGCTCCTCTCCCCAGCTGAACCGGCCCTTCTTCAAACATTCTGTGATAGGTGCAGCAACGGTGCTAAAATGCTTCACAAATCTTCTGTAAAAGGTGGCCAAGCCATGGAAGCTTCGAACTTCAGAAACTGTCTTTGGAGCTGGCCAATCAAGGATTGCCTTGATCTTCTCGTCATCTACCTGGATACCATTCTCACCAACAACAAAACCCAAGAACAGTAGCTTATTTGTGCAGAAAGTACATTTTTTAAGGTTCACATACAACTTATTTTCTCTCAACACATCTAAAACTTGTCTCAAATGCACAAGATGTTCTTCTTTTGTGGTACTATAAATTAAAATGTCATCGAAATAAACAACGACAAAAGAACCAATGAATGGTCGAAGAACCTGATTCATGAGCCGCATGAAAGTGCTAGGTGCATTTGACAATCCGAATGGCATCACCAACCATTCAAATAATCCGTCCTTGCTCTTGAACGCTGTTTTCCATTCGTCTCCAGGTCGTATGCGAATCTGGTGGTATCCGCTTCGCAAATCTATCTTAGAAAACACCCTTGAGCCGCTAAGAACGTCCAGCATATCTTCTAACCGTGGAATGGGAAACCTGTACTTGACTGTTATCTTGTTGATTGCCCGGCTATCAACACACATTCGCCAAGTTTTGTCTTTCTTTGGAACCAGCAAAACAGGAACTGCGCAGGGACTCAAACTCTCCCTGATAAATCCTTTCCGCAGTAATTCTTCAATCTGTTCTCTCAGGATGTCATTCTCCTTGGGGCTCATCCGATAATGGGGCAGATTCGGAAGGCTAGCTCCAGGCACCAAGTCAATTCGGTGCTGTATGTCCCGCATAGGAGGCAGTTCGTTTGGCAGATTTTCAGAAAGTAGTTCCTGAAATTGATTTAAAATCTGCTGCACATCTTGTGGAATGTCACCTTCTCCTCCGCCAATTTTCAACAACCCCTTCAACACCAAGGGACAAAAACACTCCGCTTCTTTGACAGCCTCGTTCAACTCCTGCTCG